GATTTCGGAGAGTATGGGAGAGGGAGAGAGAGATAGAAACATCAATGATGAGAGAGAATCATGGATCAGCTGCCTCCTGCACGCCCCCTACTGGGGATGGAGCCAGCAACCCGGACATGTGCCCTGACTGGGAATCGCACCCTGACCTCCTGGTTCACAGGCTGACACTCAAGCACTGAGCCACCCCGGCCGGGCCCTTCTGCGGGCCATTTCAAGGGACGGGGACGGCAGGAAAGAGGGACCGACAGACGTACTTGTTTTCGTTGCTGGCATCGTAGCGTGGCGATGGGTCATAATCATTTCCGTTGACGTCGTAACTTGCGTAGGAATCCTACGGAATGAGATCTTAGTGAGCGGAGAGGTGAGGCACGGATAGAGCAAGCCTGCCCCAAGTATTATTACGCCTCCATTGGAAAACAGAGAAAAGAAGGCACTTGGTACTCCGTCCCTGCAACTGTCACCTTATCTATGTTTCATTTTTTTTTTAATTGAATTTATTGGGGTGACATCTATATAACAAAAGCCTAAGTGACCGTTACGGCCAGAACGACCGGTTGCTATGATGTACACTGACCACCAGGGGGCAGACGCTCAATGCAGGAACTGCCCCCTGGTGGTCAGTGTGCTCCCACAGGGGGAGCGCCGCTCAGCCAGAAGCCGGGCTCAGAGCTGAGGAGCGCAGCGGTGGTGGCGGGAGCCTCTCCTGCCTGTGCTGTAGGCAGGTGGTAAGGAGCGAAGGGTCCTGCACTGCGAAAGGGATGTCTGACTGCCAGCTTAGGCCTAGGGGGGGGGGGGATTGGGCCTAAGCTGGCAGGCGGACATCCCCCGAGGGGTCCCAGATTGTGAGAGGGCGCAGGCCGGGCTGAGGGATCCACCTAGTACACGAGTTTCATGCATCGGGCCTCTAGTTGGTCAATAAAATTACATAGGTTTCAGATGTACAAATCTATAATGCATCACCTTTATTTAGGGTATCCAAAAAAAATGTTTGCATGTACTTTGAGTAACGATAAAGGCGGTGTTTACAAAAATACATTTCACTTTCAAAACTGAGCTATGAGTCCTGGCCGGCGTGGCTCAGTGGTTGAGCATCCACCTATGAACCAGGAGGTCAAAGTTCGATTCCCAGTCGGGGCACAGGCCCGGGTGGCAGGCTCAACCCCAGTAGGGGGCGCGCAGTAGGCAGCCGATCCATGATTCTCCCTCATCATTGATGTCTCTCTCTCTCTCTCTTCCTCTCTGACATCAATAAAAACATTTAAAAAATTAAAAAATACTTGGTCAGCAATAGGCTTTAAAAACAAAAAATTAAATGAAAAATAAAAAGAAGAAAAGAAAACCACACGGTGACAGTATCTATGGGGGGAACAATCCGGCGATAAGGGGACCTGGGCGGTCCCCACCTGTGCTGCTCGAGGGTCCCCTGCGCTGATTGAACGACGAGCACGTGAACGCCAAGGCCAGACTCACGTAATTGGGGGCCAGGTCCGGGTGGTTCCTCTCGATGCCGTCGTCCAAGATGGTGACCACCACGTTCTTCCCCGTGTAGCCTCTCTTCCATGCCGCCTGCACGTTCATCTCCGAGCGGCAGCGGCTCTGCTTGTCCCCGCAGTGCTGCGCAGAGAGACACACGGACAGTCCTGACCCGGGACGGACACAAAGCCAGACCCAGCAGAGGCACCCCATGCAGGTCAGAGGAAAATGCTCTCTGGTGCCCCCTAGAGTCAGGTCTGAGGAAGCACTCTGGCGCCCCCGACAGCCTAGATCCGTGGTTGGCAACCCGCGGCTCGCGAGCCACAGGCGGCTCTTTGGCCCCTTGAGTGTGGCTCTTCCACAAAATGCCACGTGCGGGCGCGCACGTACAGTGCGACGGAAACCTCGTGGCCCATGCGCAGAAGTGGGTATTTTGTGGAAGAGCCGGTATTTTGTGCAAGAGCCACACTCAAGGGGCCAAAGAGCCGCGTGTGGCTCGCGAGTCGCGGTTTGCCGACCACTGCCCTAGGGCATTGTCTTTCTTCGGGGCCTCTGTCCGGGGCTCAGCATCTCCACCGAATCAGCCCTACGGCTGCTATCCCATTGTCTCCCTGCTCAATGAGCCCCGCAGGGGCTTTCGTATCATTTCAAAAAGAATTCACGCCTAGCTGGTTTGGCTCAGTGGACCGAAGGGTCCTGGGTTCGATTCTAGTCAAGGGCACATGCCCGGGTTGTGCGCTCGATCCGAAGTAGGGGGCATGCAGGAGGCAGCCGATCCATGATTCTCTCTCATCATTGATGTTTCCCTCTCTCCCTCTCCTT